CATATGCATTGACCGGTCTCCCAGCCGAACCTTCCGCTCCCGTAGAGCAGCCGAAAAAAAATAATTCCCGTCTTTCCCTTCCACTTCATTGTCCTACCTAGGTGCATGCAGACAGTGGTGACTCCTCTCCGATCTCCCTCCTCTTTGGTGGTCTTCTCCTCTCCTCGTCTTCCTACAAGAAGGAGTCCAGGACGGCGGATAAGTCCTCGATAAACCTGAAGGAACGCTTCTTCGTACTTCCCCTGGAAATAAATAACCCGAAGGCAAGCAACTTGTTTGTTGTCTTGTAACCCTCCCCCCCTCTGTTTCTGCACTCCTTTTGTTCTATTTCTACTTAACAGAGCGTAGACTTGAAAAAAAAAACGTTTATAATTGGGCTCAAAGTTATTACTTGTAGCTCATATTAAAAGCCATTAACCTAAACATCCTTTCCAAGGGAATCCAAGATTACGTTATCGAGTTCTGAAGTCAGTGAATTCTCTGATGTCTGCTGTTTGTTTTATCTGATAAGAAGTTGTAGGAACTCTTCACAAAGTTTTAATGTGAGGTCGCCCTGTGTGGACCTCACCGGAACTGGATGATCAAACTGTCTTGATGAATATGTAGAAGTCTGGTATTTACCGACAAACACGAAGCACACTCACGAAGCGCTTTTTGTGCCTCTGGGCGTCATCAGGTGGTGGTAGCTGAACCAGGATGGGTACATCCTGAAACAGATCGGAGTAGAGTTTCCCACTACCATATAGTCCCAATCACAAAACCGACAACACGGCGGACCCGTGGCTCAAGGGTTAGAGCGTTCGCCTCTGGCCGAAGAGACGCGAGTTCGAAACTCGAGCGTGGCGGCATTTTCCGCTGCTACACTAGAGTTGAGCTACCACCACCTGATGACGCCCAATGAGGCTGAAAAGCGCTTCGTGAGTGTGCTCCGTGTTTGTCGATAAATGCCATTGTTACTAAAAGTTAGTAAGTAACATACAAAATTGGGGTTCCAATTAGCTTGCAAACAAACCATCAACCAGGATGGGTATATCCTGAAACAGAGCGGATTAGAATTTCCCACTACCATTTAAAAGTCTTGTTGCCTAACCCCTTACGTTTTTAATCATTTGAAGTAGCGTTTCCCAGGTCCAAATTTAAAGATGGCAAAAATAGCAAGATTTATTGGATCCATCACATTTAGAGAGAGCTCTTTTCCGTATGAATTTAATTTCTATTTTCTCTTACGTCATTCACGTTATGTAATGAGAGGCAGCAACTGAAGAGCTCTCTCGAAATGTCCCGGATCCATTAAATCTTGTTGTTTTTTCCATTTTGAATCATTCCTAAAACTTACGGTTTAATGTTGTTATGCAGGCCATTATTTGTTTTTGGGAATCTTTTCGCGATTGCTGACTTGTTGCTACGGCGGTATGGGCAATCGCTCTTTCTTACTTTCGCAAACCCATAATCTACCGTAGGATACGAAAACTATTCCGATATTGTTCGGTAGCGGTCGCCGGTCACCGTAAATACACATTGTCATATTTTTCCTGTAATAACCTTGTGTGTTCTTGTGTCAATACTAGTTATGTCCCACAGGAAGAGAAGGCAGAACACGATAGCAGATAGTACTTTACTGTCACTAGTTCTGCTTGTAAATCAGCTTTGTCTTCTGTGTGCCGGTCAGCAGTGTGTTCTCTGCCGTCGGTAGCTCGTGTCGGCTAACAGCAGGTCTTGTCATTAGCAGCAGAATCTCGGGTCGTCGGCAGCGTGTCTCGGTAACGTAGTTCCGTGTCTCACAGCAACAGAATGCCCCTCTGCTCGCAGCCTCGCTATTTAGGGGCCAGTAGTCATTATTCCCCATTGGCCCTCCACGAGTGGCCTCTACAGACTGTCGTCGTGCCTCAGCCATCGTGTCCTCAGGTGACGTTTGGTGCGCGCGCTTTGCCCCTGACCTGGCATGATCTCACGGATGGCAGACTCCGGCCCGTGGTTGTCCTTTCATGCTCGCATGTTGGCCTTTCAAGGCCGCTCTCTTTGCCCGCTCTGCATGCATCGGTAGCCTGTCCGATTTCT